CCAGTTTGAGTTGTGATTCATGTACCAATGGCAATTCTGTTCGATCATTTGTGCCTTCAATCATCTTTATAATAGAAACAACAAGAACTGTTGCTGAAGCTACAACAGCTGTAGTTCCTGCTGATACCATGCCGATGCCGTGTTGAACAGTTAAGGCCCCAAATGCCTGGGAGACGATAGGGATGTTTACTCCCGGATTAAAAGCAATATACAAACCTAAACTAACCACACTAACACCAGCCCCAACAAGAGCCATCGAAGAGATTAAACCAACTGCCGATCCAAGTAATTTACAAACATTAGCCTTGTCAAACTCCTTTCGATACTTATAAAACTCCTGTGAAATGTTAGAACACTTTTGTGTGGATTCATCGATTAACTTTTTAACGTTTTCCAACTTGGCGAATTCGTCACTGAGTTTTTTCATCTGTGAATCTATTGCATTTTCACAATCCTGTGCATCAAAAATCCCTTGTTCGTAACGTTCAATCATCGACAACAGACTATCAAATATACCTTTCAGAGATGCACATACATCTTCACATTCGGTGGTCATGGAGACTACATCTCGTTTAAACTGCAAATAATCGGCCCTAGTCTCTTTACCGAGTTTGGATACATGTTTATCCATTTCATTCAAATACTCCTGAACACTCTGCATTCCATTGTTAATAATAGGAAAACAATTTTCAACACAATCCATAATTGGGTTGGTGTCAATTTCCTCTGTATATCCAATTGTTTTGGTTGAACTCATTTTAAGGTTTTTGTTTTGGAAAATACATAGTCACGATGCAATTTATCAGTTCTGGATTCAATTTAGAAATTGTTCATCTGGAGGAAATTAATTATGGTCTTTCTCAAATTTGAAATATGTTCATACAAATTATTCAACATAAATATACAGTGGAATGTTATCATTTCATTGTAAACCTAATACCAAATTAATTGAAAGTACTTATAAAGTAAATACCATTCTTTGTTAAGCAATATTCTTTCATATATTAGACTTATATAGTTAGTTTCTAACACAGGAATCTAATTATTTGATTGCATTTCCATGATTTTGTTTTGCAAGACCAACATTTGCCAAAACAATTTGGATGTTATCATCTGAAATTGATTTGATAAAAATATTACTTGGTTTCGTATCTCTATGAATTACAATCAATGTAGTGTGTTGGTTAAGATTAAAAAATAGCAATAAGTAAGGTGACTATGCAATTTGAAATGGTCTTTTAAACTTGTAAGCAAGATATGCATCTGTCAACTCATCTGGATTCTTCAATAATTTGTAAAATGTTGCCATTGTTTGTGCATTGAGAGAAAATTCTTGTTCAGGACTGGATGTTATAACCCAACGTCCAGTAATGAAAAACAAATGAACAGGACATTGCTTTTTCAAATATTGAATGGTTTCTTGCATTAAGGAAGTTTCTCGCTTGTTCCTTGGATTGAGTGAAGGAATATTCTTATTGTTGATAATACTTTTCATAAGTTTCTTCTGTATATCTGTTTTTGGTGAGTAGCTTTCAAAGTAGTCGACTATTCTATCTGAAAATGTATATCTTGGCTTGTACAATTTCGCATAGTAATGATGAATCAATCTATTAGATATAAAGTTTGGATAGTGCTTTACAACCTCTTTGAAAGACGGTTTATCCGTAGCACCAGCTATAATAAAGTTAAATAAAAAACACCAATATGGAACAAACTCAATTGGTGAAAGTTCATATTCCTTAATTGTTGGAACAATATGGGATAGAATTGTATCACACAAGTATTGCTTTCCCCAAACATTAGCTGGAATATTTTTACCATTAAACTTGTAAATAAAAGCACGTTTTTGGTGAGATAT